TATCTATCCATATATTTTAGTTGAGGAAGACTCCGAAAAAATTTTGAACGTTTGCAATTTTCGAAAAATCAGGCTTTTTAACGAACATGAGACCTGCACCTTTCTCCTAAACGTCCTTCACACTATCCAACAAAATTTAATCAAAATCGACGGAGTCATATTTTGAAAATATTGAAAATGCCCCAGGGCCTTCATATAAAGTAACATCCAAAATTGAAATACCGGTTTCAAATTTAAGAGGTTGCGACATCAGCCACATCAATACGAGAATATCAAATTTGGAGAAAATTGGCTGAAGGGTTTAGCCGCTAGCGTTGTTCACAGACCGAGTTTTTCTATCGAAAATCGCCGTTTTTCGTGCAACATTACATAACGTTCTCTCTACTCCGTATGAAGAATATTAAAAGGTGTCAGACCCAAAGACGTGACATGTCTCTATATATTGCATAGAATGCACGTCTTCAGTGCATGCACCGAATTCGAATCTGAAGCCAGAATTCAACCATCATCCTTCACTTTTACTTTCTCGTATACGCGGAGTAATATTCGTAGTATAGAGCAAGTTATGTAATTTTGCGGAAAATCGACTTCGAGATTTCAATCGGAAAAACATTTTGGGGTCCTTGATACCGAAAACGTGTTTTGAACTTCCTCGCTTTACGAATTCTTCGTGAGAAAATTATGTAATCGTGTACCAGAAAAGACTGAAATTTCGCCAGAAAAAATCTTATTGCCTTTATCTTATTCACGTAACGAAGTAGAAAAATCCTGTTGCTACATTTAGAAAAAAGTCGTCTGACTCGTGGTGTCGTCATAATCCATGTTTTGTTGATTCTTCATTCCGCAAAACTTCCGTCTGTCTGTTCGTGTGTGGTCAACGCTACGCCTAAATCGTTCGGCCGTTTTTCTTCTAAATTTATAGGCTATATATCCATGTAGGATGAGAGTTTACTCTTCATTAATATTTTAAAATATCTACCGTTAGGAAACCGAAAAATAAAGAAAACTTCAAAAAGTGTATTTGAGACGGCGATAGATTGCAGCTGGCAAGAGGATTGGCCAAGACCATAAAGCTAGCCTACACCAAGGAAATTAGAAAACTTTGTTACGAGAAAGTCTGTGCCAATCTAGCAGCACTAGTTTTTTTAGGGTTGTTATCAGACCCAAAGATCTGACATACGTTTCTCTCTGCATGTTGATGTCCTAAATTATCCAAATCCGAAGCTAGAATTGGGCCACCACCCTTCAGTTTTTTTAAAAGAAAAATCATCGTGAAATTTACAATTTGCAACTTCAAGGTGGTTTTGTCGAATAAAAAAGCTAAGTGGTCTTGGTGGCGCACTTCTGGCTTCGCATTTGGATTCAGCGCGTCGGCATACATAGAGAAATAGGTGTCACGTCTTGGGTCTGCCGACTTCTGTAAAGATAATGCTACAAGTCACCCAAAACTACTATCCGCATATGTTTTTTTCAATAAAAAACAAACAAACGAGGGTGGTGGCGCAATTCTGGCTTCGGATTGAGCGAATCGACATGTTTAGAGAAACATGTGTCAAGTCTGTGCGTTTGACAACTTAGTTTATTTTGTCATTGTTCACAAAACATTTTCCCCATTTTTATTCTACATAATTTACCTTAATTAAAAAATGTCACATTCTATGTTTTCAGTGAAACAATGATGAATGAAAAACAAGAAGTATTAAGTCGGGCACAAGAGGAAAATAGTAATATCTCTGTTGGGTTACTGGAGAGATTAAGAGCTAGTGGAGAAGATAACTCAGATACTGCTATTAAAGACGTGCAAAATGCAATTCAAGAAGTTAAATGTGAAACTGAAGGTAATTTAGGAAACAAATACATTGAATTTCAAAAATACATTTTCAAAAGAATTGAAAGTAAGAAATAAAAGTATATGGTAGCTTGAGTTGACATGATACGATGTTAAAAGAAGTTAAAATAATTTAACATTAGCAAATATTTCTGTGAATATGTTTTTGAACATCGGTTTTATTTAACATATGTTAAAAATGTAACGCGTTATCTATTTTGTTTATTTCCATACATTTTTCCTTTAATTTCCGATGCATGGGTATCAGGAAAGAAACATTATGTCATAATAAAGAGCAAACCTACAATTATGCCTTGTAGAGCTTGTCATTCAAAGCTGCAATAATTTCCCTTTCTTACTGAGTTATTCCTAGGGGGTGGATTTTGACGACATAAATTATCGCCAAAAATGATTCCCCAAACTATACTCATATTATAGCCAGTATTTCCCCATGCTGTAGAAAATATTTCCATTCTCAATACTTGTAATAGTATATCGTTTTAGTATGTACGCATGGATGGACCGATAGTGATTCCGGGCACGTCAACTACTAGGGTCGTTAGTCCCGTACGAGTAGTACATATTTTTGTCCGAGTTGCGGCGATGGTCTTTACCCCGCTGTACGGGAAGATCCGGCGCCGACCTACCATCGACTAGTGGGATGGGGTTTTCTCCAACCAGGTATCTCCCACCACCAGGGCACCGCTCCAGCCGGAACAAACTCTTAAGCTCACGACCGACAATTGAGCGAGGATACGATAAGGAAGAGGAAGCAATGGTCGCGCGCGGTCCGCGACCCGTTTGTTAGGTTACTACTCCGGCATTCGCCTAGTATTGATCGGAGGAACCACGGAAAACTAGCGATTAGAGCAGCCGACCGCTAGAAGTCGTCTCCAGACAGCGACCTAGCTGACTGGCTAGTATCGAAAATCCTATCACCGTAAGGATTCGAACCTAGGACTTCCCGGCCAGAGGGACTGCAGGGACATCAGTTGATTCACTGAGCAATCTCTCCCCGTGCGTTTTATTATGTAATCATTCTCTCTTCACTAGTATATTCGCCACAAAATTTTGTGCTAGGGCATAGGACACTGATTTTGAAATAATCCGGATCAAGTCGAAAATTCAACAAGGGTTCGTTGAAATTTACACATTTAATGATACGAAAGAATTGGACAAATTCCCACATCTTCCAAACTATTGAAAATATTTCCATTGTAGAGGTACAAACTAGTTTCAAAATTTAATATAAATTCAGAAAAAGTCATATTTTTCCACATTCGAACGATAAACGTGCCAATAGGAGTTTTTCGAAATATGTTAAAAAAACAACCAAAATTACGGTAATTTTTGACTCGCTTTAGCTTCTAAACTACTTCGTCTACAACACAGATTTACATTGGTGATAATCGGTATATCGCTCTATATCCTGCGGTTTACGCAGAATTTTAGTTTACATGAACCCGTTAATCATGGCGACGTCCTAGAATGCATTTTTGGGAAAATTACGTATTTTACGTATGTTATTTGCGTATTTCTGGAAAACAAAGCGTCTGATGGAAATGTGATTTTTACCTGTGTATTCGGCATTACATTTCGTGCTAGAGCACGAAAAATATCAAAAAATTCAACAGGTTGGGAGTCGTTGAAGTTTTACACATTTCGACATAAAGTAATTGAAAAAATTACACATATACCGCAAACTATAGAAAACATTTTAATTGTGGAGGCACACACTAGTTTAAAAATTTAACACAGATTCAGAAAATATAATTTTCCCCATTTGGACAATAAACGCGCCTCTAGAGGCGTATGCACTGGCGCTTTTCATCATTACAGATGTGATCAGGAAATTTATCTACGTGGGTCAATCGGAATCCTTGCAAAAAAAACTTTCCAAATTGACTGTTTCACACACTAATCTTCTCTTCTGAAGAAGTCAGGGGAAGGTTCAGTGTCCATCAATAGGATATCAATTACATCCCCATGGTCCCCACCCACCACGGAGCCCAACAAGGGGACATGTTATCAGTGTGCCAGGGTTGCCGCAGTTGCCACAGTGATAGTGTGTGTGTGTGTGTGTGTGTGTGTGTGTGTGT